AAAAAAACACATACACACTTTTCGTAAACGGATTACAAAATGAAATAAACCGTAGAAATCATACATAAACTTGAATTAGTTTTGCCTTTAGACGTAAACTCCAAAATATTATCATGCAAAGCTCGTAAGCCTCGGCATCGCGTGCAAGGTCGACAACAAGAGCAAAACCCTCATAAAAATGGTGCGCCCTTTTCGTCGATTATTTACGTCCAGTATCGGAGAGCATCTCGACTCCGCGACCCATACAATAATATTAACGAACCTGTCACACATCGGACTTGTTGAGTCGTTACTTTATTGATAATAACTTATCATTTACTTATTTAAAATAACTTGCAATCGGATGAAATGTCTTATTTAAGTTTACGAACCACCAGAAAAACATAAAAACTGTGCCTCTTAAATGTTAAAAACATTTTAATGAAGATAGAAATTAAATTACTGTTATAATATCCTAATAAAAGTGAAGTTCAATACTAGGACATCTGAATTTAGCTTTTGTAAGACTGAAACAAAAGTAGAAAACCATCATTTTATTAACAAACAGGATTGATAAGCAATTCGAATTTAAAGTTATAAGTTAATGCCTAGTTCACACTTAGCCAGTACAGTTGTACCGTCATAAATTGTATGGACTTGGTGCCAGTTACTCACTGTGCCAGTTGATAGACAGTCCAGTTATTCAGTGCTAATTCCCAACTGTACTGGGCAAGTGTGTGAACCGCGCATAAGACATCATGCTATAATATTATAAATGCGAAAGTTTAGATGGATAGATGGATGTTTGTTAGAGTTTGTAGCCTAAACGGCTGAACGGATTTCGATGAGATTTGGTATAGATGTAGAGGACAGTCTGGAAGAACACAGGCTACTTACTTTTGTTTTTTTTTTTTTTAATTCCACGCGGACGGAGTCGCGGGCGATAGCTATTAAGACTTACAAGTAAAAACTGCACAAACAAATGAATGTCGAAGCAATAATCATATTCTGTCGTTCATAACATGACGTTCCAATTTATGCACATTCGTGAGACATAACCTAGCGATTGTAAAATATCATCACGAACGAATTACACGTCTAATAAAATAATTATAATATTTGCATTCATTCCTTGTTCATAATTAAAACATGGACATTTATTACTTTCTAGAAATAATGCAAGTGTCGTTATGCTATGAAATATTAACGCGATGTGAAATTGAAGGCGTAGGCGCGGTTTCACAATGATAAATTTAGTTTCTCAGAGAAATTTAAAGTCTATACTTAAACTTACGACCTCGACTTGTCGAGTTATCTTTAATGTTGTTGATAGAATTTAAATTAGAAATCATAGTGTGAGAATATGAAATCAAAATTGTCTCTTCACAGTGATGTTTAGCTGATTTTTTAATTTGTGTGTTCCTGCCCCATTCCTTAACATTTTAAAATAATAAACCAAGATTTCAACCAACGTTTTTAAGTATAGAAGACAAGAAATTTCTCGGGACTTCTTTCGCGTGGAATAAAATAAATATAGCCTATGTTACTCACAGATGAATTACCTTTACAACGGTGTAGGTATTTTTCAAATCGGCCTAGTAGTTGAGTTATTTCAATACATACAGAAATACAAATCTTTCCTCTTTATAATATTAGTATAGATTGAAGTAACTTTACATAAGATGGATGTAAATTTCTTGAATGTATAACGCAAAATACTTTCGCTATTGGAAATTAAAAGGCGTGTTTGATTTATTGCGTTTGCAGTTTTATAGCTTACATAAAACGGCATGACAATACCTGTAATAAATATCCCGTAGCAAATAAACTGCTATTGAGAATCGGTTGAGTTTAAACGAAATTAATAATATTGAAAAGGGACCCTAGTTCACTTCGATGTCGCGGCTGACAGATCTAAGATTTACACATGAAAAAAAATGCCAATGGAATATAAATAATTCAACTTATGGTTGTAATGGCTGTCGTAAATCATTGACACCCACTGAGAGTGGCATGTGAGTGCATTCGCGACCTCCTTTGATGCTAAACATCGAAACAACTAGTAATATTGATAAAGATGTTAATAGCTAACAGAGAGACTTTTCTCCTTGGCTTCCTTCTACATTTGTTTGAAACTCGGATTATATAAGCGAAAAGGACTTACTAATAAAACAAATGAACCTTTTTTTAAATCATAAAGTGGCAAACGAGCAAGCGGCCAACTGATTCTGCCAAACTGGCAAAGCTGCCTATAGACATCTGCAATTGCTGATTCGTTGCCTACCTTTAATCGAGGGAGACGGAGACGCACAGAAACAGGACATTTCCCCTTCTTATGCGTATCCCCCATCAAGTCCACTTTTACTTTCCATACCTTCCTCTTAAGAAATGGGTGGAAAGGAAAAAGAACTAAAATTAGGCCTTCGGCACTACAGTCAAAAATCTCAAAACCAAATGGTTTGGTTCCAAGAAGGTGAAGCACTTATATAAATGGAATCTTATGAAGGTGCAATCACCTTTGACGTCATCAACCTCATCAATAAGCAGAGGTCAACGGACTACGGTCATTAGTCATTAGTTATAACAATTTGGAGCGTGGTCTTTGAAGTAGGGGCTTTACCCATCGCAAACTTAATTAGTTATGTTTCTTATTGAAAAGAGATTACGAATTACGAGCGTTATATCTATAAGTGAAAATCTTAAAAGTTTAATTGCACTATAAAGGACCAAATTATAAGAACATTAAAAGCGGGGGCACATCTTTGACTTTCGATTGTCGATTGTTTCGCGGCCCATTCAACTGTTTAGTTGAACGACTAATATCGAGTAGTATGCACACTTCCATACAAGCTCTTAGTATATTCTTATTAGGGGTAACATTATAAACATTTAATAAATTACAAAATGCATTGTGCATTGGCAATTATTAGGTAAAGGTTACAGTATATCTTAGTGCGGGCGTGGCGCGGTTGACTGCAATTGATAGCGCGCTGGTATTGCGGTGCGGGCTGCTCACCGGCAACTGATTCAATTTTATGATAAACCGATGAGATCTGCACAACGATGATTACCTTATATATCATATAACTCGTATGCTTATGCACCTGTTACTCTATTTTAAGATAATAATTTTCAACAAGAACCTACATGAATGATTTTAATTGGACAGCATTTTTGACTTTCAATGTTTTGCTCAATTCAAAATGTTTAATTTATTTTTTTAGTTATTTTATAATAGTGCCTTTTTATAATGACAAGGGGTATAAAGTCATTTGTGAAAAGTTCACGAGCACAAGCGATCATTATTGATCTATCTCTTGTGGTTTATCGCAATACCTCGTTTCATTGCGCGCTGTTTTTGTCCACACGACACTCGTGTATCGAGAACCGCGTAATGTGCTGCACAATTATTATGTTACATATCCCAGTAGATGCCTCACGATATCCATTAAATTATGGGTTTTTACTGGAAGTGATTGCGGCTAAAACCATACACTTGTACTAATGGATTCATTCGTAAATTGCGGATGTATTATTTCAATGTATATCGCTCACATGAATATAATAATGACCTGAATTTCGATAATTGTAAAGTTCGATGACCATTATCGACAACCGTTTTTTGTTTCCTATACTCTAGATGTACTTCTAAGTGCACGATATCGTTGCATTTTTTTATATAAATTGCGTCAAACTGCATCTAAGTGTGTTGTAATTCCGCGAAACGGAACGCAACGCATTCGTGTCTAACCCGTTCCAAGCTTTAAAGTTTAACGAACTTTAACTTCTTGATTATATTATCGGCAATATTAATTATGTTAATGCGTCTCGAAATATCTAAGTGGCGTTAAAATGATCAATGGATCGTGGTATCGAAGGGTGTTCGTGCGGCGGTAATGGAAGTGCGAGCGACGTGGAAAATCATCGGGCACGCGCTGCCCGGCGGGCGACGGGCGGCGGGCAGCAGGCAAATCATATTATACGGCAGATTTGAACCCCGACCCGGCGAAGCTAGCGGTCCACACGGCTGGAGGTCGCACGTAATGGGGAGTAATTAATCAGACCTAAGGCGACCTACATCGCAAGGCCGTGCACATTCCTCAGCGTTTCCTTTGCAACTGTCGACATCATGGCTGTTTTATTACATTGAATCCGTACGATTGGAACCAATTTGTCTCTTATTAAGTATATTTATGGCAAAGTTATTACATTGGAATCTAACTTAAGGTTAGATTCATCACGTAATTAGCCTTTTAAGTTATCATAAAAAGTCTGATTGTATTTTACTAAGCAAATATGTACAGAGCTCGAGTCAACGTTTTAAATGAAACCTAATATCGGAATCTATTGATTTTGTTTGAAAGATTTCATAATTTTAGTTGCTTATAAATTAATTGTTAGATCAAATGATGTCTCTATTAGGCATAAATAGTTTCGTTAGAGCCCTTTATACTCGGCGTGTACATAGTTTAATCAACAGTCATGGCAAATTGTATGGTTTCTCCTCAGCGAATGTGGACCAAGGTTGACAACAAATCCTCTTAAGAATTATAGAATAGATGACGTCATGATGGCATCTTGAGATAGTTCGTGCGATAGGCGATCATGTAACTATGTGGTTAAGCTTCAAATTAGTTTGTATATTCAATCTAGTTAGTTTTACAGTATTAAGTTATGGGTTGAAATTTGAAATGCAAATTTCGCCTGGGCGCCACCGCCGTGTGATGTGGGAAGGTTTCGTGTCGAAAGCTCAGTTTATCAGATGCATGCTCGTTTGATGTATGGGATGACGTCACAGCTTAGCCTCGCTACGGAGCTATGTAGGTGGTACAATTCCCAGGTATCCTAGAATTAACTGTACAGTTTGAACTTTGCACGGAACGTATTAATGCTTCCCATTTTATAGTTTAATCAACTGTGAACTAAGTCTGTTAGATTTAAATGTTAATTTCGAATTTACTTCGCGAAATATTGAACGAATCATCGTTATTAGCTCACTATAAGTTCCCATTGAGGAGCTGGAATATATTCTAAGTTAGGGGTGTAGGCTTTAGTTAACGATGTCGACCTACTACGGGTTGACTTCACAAGTATTCAGTTCAGTATTGAATAACGACATTATAATATCTCAAAATTAGAATACATACAGACTTGATTCAAATGTTTACTGGATGAATGTTATTTGGGCTACCTTTGGTATCGATGTTGGGCGGCGGCGCGAGGCTGGCGATCTCTGGCTGCGGCGGCTGCACGCGCGGCCCCGGCCACGTGGTAGCGCCCGCGCAGCACCGCGCCCGCGGCACGCTCGCGCCGCAACCCTCCGCCGCGTCGCGCAATGTCGACGCATCCGCAGAATACTCTGAAATCGACGCTGATATAGTACCATAATGACGTCATCAACCACCATATTAAGAGCAGGCGCTTTTGACTTAACTATCGCTCTACTGAGCGATTGTCGATTGTCAATTGTTTCGCAGTAAATACAACTGTTTAGTTGCACAACTAAAAATCGAGTAGTGTGCGCACCTCCATAAGCTCAAAAGAATCAAAGCGCGACTAAACAGTCGTGCGATAGTTATGTATAAAGTTTACGCACTCTCAAGTTGACATAAAATATGTCAGAACGCATATACGGACAATATAATAGATCATAATCTCTCTGATACTACGATACCCTGTGTGATATCACATCTTTAAAAATACTTACTTCTCGTTGTGGAAGATTGCAGCAGGCTGCCAGTCTGACCTCCAGGGAAGGTGGCGTTTCGTTTGTGTCGACCCTGTGGATAAAATAATACAAAACCAATTTAATAAAAAACATACGCGCAAATCAGATTAAAATTAGGTAAAGATTTATGGATATATCTTGATGTGTTCATAGGCATGTTTTTGCAATTTTTACACTAGATATATAATCAGGATTAATCTCGTAAGATCATCTTGATTTCTTTCATCGTATCAATGTCTGAGAATGTGAAGCATTACAAAACATCGGCCAGATCACCGCTTTACGACACGTGCTTACAACGTAATTATACACTCACCGATTTTAATACTCAGATATCGCTAATGTAGCCATGAACTTTACCACCAAAACAACGATAGTACACTTTATTGCATATTAAATAGAGTTCACAATACGTTATCGACCGGTATTGTTAGAAGTAACGATGTGAAAATGCGATTAGAAACCCACGCGTTTAATTGTTCGAAAGCACATAACTCGTTAACGTGCGCCGTCGGACGATATTTGTCGATACTGCCGACCCTAATGGATTAATTGACGTCTGCCACATCGCTTTTAGAGGCTCGATGCATGTTGCTTTGCTTTATTTGTAAAATATCAAATAATGCTTACAAACATTTCATAGTAAATTGAGATCTTAAAAGAATGATAAATGACTTTTCAAGCGAGTATCAGTTCTATGCAACAGGGCATACGGTCCAAAGGTAAGTTTTAAAATCATACGAATTCTCTGTTCATTGCCATCGATGTTGAAAATATGGATTCGTGAATCATAAAACATAACAAATGACAATCAATGAGTCACTTCCCGTACTTTAATAATGAATGCCGCACCTGACGCGAACACACTCGAGTGGAAAGAACTCTCACTTCCACGAAAAATATCTTCGAAACTCTCACCTTTCTACAATGAAATATGTTTTAATTATGTGTCCAAGTGACTGACTCATAGTTTACATGGCCTGAAACTGTAATAATCCGGATTTATTTCATTTGAAGTAGGCCAAATATGAAATTTTTTCTGTAATTTAAAAGTGATAAAAGACTCTAAGACTATTCTTTAATATTTCAAGTTTATTCCATTTTAATTTTGTTCCAAAACTTACAGCATATTAGCGGTAAATTTTAATCAAAAACATTTGCGAAGGCGCATATTATTAAAGTAGTTAACACGTAGGCTAATGTGGGAGTTGGTGTTACGATGGCCAGAATTACAGCTGGTACGTGACCACATCGCCAGCGATACGAAATTAATCGAGCAAAACATAAAACAATATAGAACTGTACTGCTGCCGCACCGTTACTATTGTAATATTCAAACTTAACAGGGGCTTGTCTTATGCGAATGTAAGCCAGCCAACCCAGATTAGCCAAGCAATAGCTGGTGAAGGAAAGCGCATACGTCTGCAACCTCTTACATCCTTCCCATTTTGTAAATTGTGTTAACTCGCGTCTAGTTAGAAATTTCGAGCAGCCATAAAGTTTGAATACCATTATACATAACATAGATTTGATTGGATACCTCAACATAGGGCGATGAACTCTTATATGCCAAATGTCGATGCAAAATTTGCTTTTTATGACATATAATATAAGTAATTGCATCGTCCTGTTACATTATTATGTTGGTGATGCGGTCGGCGGCCGTGTTGAATTAGAAATTGCGACTTAAAGACCGAAATATCATAGTAAAATCATTAAAATATACATTTTTATGATGTAATAAATAATGTTCCCGTTATAAAGATGTTTTAGAATTGGATAAAATTCAAAACATGTTTTTACCAGACTTCATGGGCGTCAGAGGGGGCAGCTAGCTACTCTAAAACCCCGAAAACTGTTCATAAAAAGTTGCCAGCGCCCTTTAAACACATTGCAATCAGACTGATTTCTTTTTCATTAAAAAAATTTGATAATTTGGTAGTAAAATGTTAGCATCAGACAAATACACAACAAAGATACGAAAATTAAGAGCGTGCGCACAGCTAGAACTAAACTATCGCACAACCGTTTGGTCTAGCTTTGATTCCTATAAGCTTATATGGATGTGCGCACACTACTCGATTTTAGTTAAAAAACTAAGCAGTTGAATTGGCTGCGAAACAATCGACAATCGTTTACTCAAAGGTGTTACGCTTTTATGCGTGAATAAAGAGAGACTATGTCTAAACCTTGCAGCTTCATTAAGGAACAAAATGAAGAATTTTAATTAACCCGCCGAGCTAAATCTGTCCAGATAGGTACAGCGCTAATTGCTAGGGAATTTCTATCACATTTCCTCGTCAACCATGTAAGGACAGTCGCGTCGCAAAGAATGTGACGTCCGACAATATTTCCGCGTGCTCCATAAAAAACTCTTTACGCAATTTACAAAAGAAATCGCTTTTTTATTTTCCCATGTTTCCTTGTTGATTGCATTCCTATAACGTAGTTTTTGCATGATCTATTTTGGAAACAGTCTCAGAATTTCATAAAACATCTGGAGTATCTCATGAAATGTATTAGATAACGGTAGACTTAACACAAAATGTTCGGGAATCGTGATATTTTGTAATTGCTGAAGAAAGCTAAACCACATTAAGATCAGTTTCAAACGCGTAATGATAGAAAGTGTAGATGGGTAATTATTTTCTTATTGCTCCAGACATTTACGTCGACATCATAGATGTATGTGATAACAACCGGTTTGAACGCAATGTCTCATGTGTGCTCTCGGCATCAACAATGCTGAATTGAAAGTCGCAACAAGCGCTGCGGGATGAAGCAAATAATTGTCGAAGACGATCAATTGAGTAACTTAAATTTAAATATTGTTCACCATTAAAAGGTTCATAGGCTTCGCGTGTCATAAAATAAAAATCTAATTGAAAACTATTCCATAGGTATCTTTAAACAAAAAGTTCCGCTGTCTCTACTACTTAAGTATTGGCTTTGATATCTGTGATGTGGAAAAAAGATCCGATTCGTATCAGCAGCACTGACACTTGGTGGCACTAAAATTTAAAATGGCGACGTATAGTGGTACTTTTTCACACATGCCGGACGGAGACGTGATTTTTTTTCTAAACGTCACATCGCCTCGTCGAAGTGTCTATGATGGGAAGCAATCTATCAATGTTTTAACGACAATATGTATAAAATTCTCAATAAATAAATTAGTATGATAGATTTCTTTTTGATTCTTCGAGCAATTCTTAAATTGTCCTGATGAATATGATCTATTTTCTCCAATTAGGTTAATCGCAACAAAAGCCGCCGAAACGATTAACTGGACTCGATCAAGTATCCATTATCCTCAATTGCTGAATTAGATTGTCCCGTATCGGATCTGGATAAATTGAAGTGCGATATATTCGCTTAATTACTACCATCTTGTAGATTGCTATTTTAAAAAGTCCAAGTCTTTAACACTAACAGTATAAAACCCAAGCCAGACTTTAATGTCTTTTTAACACTATTCTAAAAAGATATGTTCAAGAATTTCAAATTCAATAAACGTTTATGTTATGGAAGTCCATTAAAAATGGTGTATTTAAAAAAAATATTCTTAAAAATTCAGCCAAATATCTTTAGACCGATGTCTTTTATCTTTTCTTGTCTGTTGTCTCTTGCAAAAACATTTACAGACAGTTTCGTTCCAATTACAACTCGCACCTGTCCATCCGACAACAGCGTGGAGCGTGGCGCGCCCGCTACGTAACCCGATCTGCAAGCTGTAACTCTATACGAGCACAATGCGCTCGCCTGCGTGACGCCTCGCGTCCTTGCCTCCCTCTATACATGGCTCAGGTGCATGACGAATCAACGTACTATCTATACCTCTACACATGTAACAATACGTTGTGTTTTAGAAATTGTGATGCGAAGCTGTCATTGTCATTAAAAAATAGACTGTAAAAGCTTCTACGCAGTTTGCATCTAAATTATATTAACACAAGCATCTACTCAGGTCATCAACCGTGCAGTCTATATGCGTATGACGCAGAATAGTAATAAGGAAAATGCGCAAGCGCACTTCGGGAAGTCTCCACATCTCATTAAATAGCTTGTCGGGCGTTTAGACATGTAAACACTGTATTTCGGGCTCGGCGAACGCGGACGTTTCCTTACTGACCGCAACGAGGGCATGCATGAGAGCCGCGATGAATTAATGCCGCAACAACACGACTCAATAATAACTGCCCGTTTAATGATACGAGATTGAGCGTTTCACTTGTGAACTCATGCGCGGCTGCAGCGGCCAGCCCTCATTATGCACGGAGTTATTCAAATTGCACGAATAATTGGTAACATGATTAGTTATTACAGTTATACCAATCGTATTATGTTTGTGCATGTTTGAGGCAGTGACAATTATTTTAGCTGTATCTACTACTTTACGACATTAAATTCATGCAACCGCGTTTGTAATTGTTTGTCTTCTTATCATAAGAATTTGAAGTGTAATTAGATGTTAATTTTGTATCTTACCTTACTCCTGGGGTACATGCTGAGTATGTCGGCCCACCAGCGCGCCTCCTCGCGGCTGGTGCCTTTGACGAAGGTGACGCGATCGGGCGATGTGATGGCGAGGCTGTGTGCGTGCCCCGTCACTCCATCCGCCTCGCTAACCTCCAGCACGGACGTCATGTCTACGCTCGCCTGCGGGACTGTGTCTGGCTGCAAACAAGACATGGAAAATTGTCAATAATTTACAATGCTTTAATGTATCAAGTGTGTGAATGATAAAGTTGTTTGTTTCTCATATAAGCAAATAAATGAAAAGATGCAAAAGAACTAAATCCATTTGTCAGAATAAAATCCTAATGTAGGCATATTAAAATAGTTCAAGTTGCAATACTAATGGCGCAATTAAACAGGCGAGCAGTTCTCAGACTTAGGGTAATTTTGAGAAATGTTCCGTCGGGAATGTGTTAATTTAGAGTTATGGCCGATGATATTTCTAAGTTGGCGAACGTTGCGAAACCACAGGCGGTGCTGCAGACGAATGCGTGCGGTTACTGGTGCCGGCTAGAAATAGCTTCTAGGCTAGCAGCTAGCGGCTAGCGGTATGACGGACGAGCCCCGGGTGCTGCACGGTTACTCAACGTCCCGCTAATACGCCGCGCACCCAGCGCCATCTACACTTACTCTCAGTACTTCACAATGACTCTGGTAATTACTTTTGCCTTCATTAAGAGCTCGATTAAGATTTTATAACTTGCTATTAAAACTTAACCAGAGTTTAAGGTACCGTCTGAAATTACGTTTCAAACATATATCTAACTCGTTTATCTGAATCTAATTGTTGTAAACTAATAACATTTGATCATGAGGTAGGTGAAGCGTGGAATCCGAGTGACCTTGGAATTTTTCCGCAAACAAGATCAGAATACAATGATCGCGGGGCTGACCTTGAGGCCCCGTCCTCGTGCACTTGACCCGCGCCGGCTCTGGTTTCATCGCGCGGTGTAATTGAGCATTTATCAGCGCGCGCCGGTGCTTATCCTAGCGGTATGCAAATGGCTACAGTTAGCCCGCACGGGGCGACCGCTCTCCTAGCCCTAATCATACACTTCACTCTCTTATCACGACTATAACGTTCGCATGATAACTGTACTCTGATTTGAATTCTTATGGCGCCGACACATTTAAATTCATTCAAACTACCATAATAATACAACGACATGCACTTATCCGGTTTCATTTTTTAATTGAACTGAATATTTCGATGCAATGTCACTCAGGTCAGCATAATAACGTAAATTTTACCTGACCTTTAAGGTTATTTTTCGGCAAAATTATTGGAACGGAGACATCAGACAAGAGACATGACAAAACCACCGGTGATTAAAAAAAAGTGAAAATGAAACCGTACACGAGACCCCAGACCCGAGACCCGGTCGCTTTAATCAATTTAAATTAACGAACGCTCCGTACGAATGTTTAATCAAAATTTATCGATCGACTTTCGACAATGAGACATTTCGGAGATAACGAGATTTATAAAGACTTTCGCTGTCCCCGAAAATGGTCTAATTTGACAACTGGTCGCAAGTAGATCAATGTCATTAATGTCTTCGCGGTACTTGTGAGAAAAATCTGAAATCGAAAGCAATCAGCATACAATACGCGCAATATGTTAAATACAAACGATCACATGCAGATTACAGCAATGTAGTGAACGTTGGTGCGGAATTACAGCAAGACAGTACAATTGGTGCAAGTCGCATAATAATTCACATTACGCAATGGTTCCCATGTCCCGTGGCGTGGTCACTTAACTCCTATAATTCCCGATGTAGCGGGATAAACGGAGATAGCAATTCAATGGTGAGCGGTAGGAATTTCTTACAGTTGTATTCCTATTTCAGCGGGAGTAGTGTTGGAGACGTGTTTATAGCCGGGGCGATGCCGCAATACCACGCACATGCGAACGGTACTATGGAACTATTTGTTAAAGTCAAAAGGCACGTGCTTTTATAATAGAGTATCATTAATTATACTATAATCTTGAATACAAAAAATCCTAGCATAAACAATAGTCCATTAGGGACATAAAACCTTAAAAAAAGTTGAGATAAGATCGGATATTTAAGATTAATATATGATTTAGCGAATTAAAAATTGAATAAGTTTTATCGTAAAATGAATTATGGTGAGCAGATAAGGTACGTTAGTTCTTTTCCCCTTCCTGAGTTCTTAAGTCTTGGCTCCACAGTCTCCAGACGGGTTCCCCAGTTCCCGGGCGTCCTTATCCACGACGTTGGCTAATCATTGTTTATCGAGACTGGACCTTGTAAGCTGTTAAATTAAATATGCAAACCTCTATTTATAACTGCTCGTTTTATGTAACCGTTATGCAGCGATTATAGTGGTAAGTGGAGAGTGTAGAGCAACGATTTGTGGTTCTACAAATCTATTAAGTGATTCAACGAATTTACTCGCGTTATCGTTGACCACTATGTAATTTAATGTGCTTTAGATATAAAATTAAATCAACAGACTATTATGATTTTAAAGTTTTCTTTCTAATCAATTAGTTACAATCGATGGAACCCTACTTTTATCTGTATACTTTGTATCTACAGTAACATTTAGAATACTTCTTAATTGCTACATCTTTATGATTACAATTTTACTCGTATAAATTATGTTCCACTCTCACTTCCGTATTAAAGTAGGCGCTAATAAACCATTACGTATAACTCGATGAGTTTTTTTTCCGGATTGTCATCATTTACAAATTTAGTAAATGTAATATTTTATTAGTAGAAGAAGTTTTTGTTTTTCAAATATTTACTTTTGTTATTTATTAGTATTCTCTGATTTTTATCTACTAAATACGTCAAGATATTACCGTTAATCACATAAGCGTAATGTGCAAATTGTATCTAAAATAGTATTATAATTTCATCTTTTTTAAATAAATGATTGTTCCCGCTCTCTTCTGTCCTAAACGCGCACCCTTATCCAGTGTGTCAGCGTCGGTAATTTGAGCGTTGCACTCAGCCCGCGACCGCGTCGGATGCAAATTGTCGTAATGTGTGCTAGGCCTTATTCTGTGACCAGGAATAGTAGCAACGTTAATTTTTACGAACTTGTCTTTAGTACTCATTAGCTGCAGGGAGTTTAAACGAACGTATTTAACTGTGTTTATGTATTTTTAAAAAGTTTAAAATGTTTATGACTTTTGGTATAATGTAACCAGCTTTAGGGTTGGGTGAGATGGGGCGAATGCCTAGGATGCCGGACATAAAGAGGCACAGAGGCATAAACAACCTCCTTGCATAGGGATTAATATTGAAGTTAGAAGGCACCGTAGACATCCCGCCCAGGGCGTCGGTAATGCTAAATCTGTCTTTGAATGTGTTTCTCGTATTTAATAAGGTAAAGCTTTAAGTGCCAATAGCTTCATAGTTTTGGGAACGGACTACCGATCTCGCGGTCGAGGGTTCGAATCCTGCCATTCGACTATTGTCGTGAACCATATCCTAGCACAAGCCTAGAGCTTAGTTGGAATGGTTAAAGGAAATGTTAGTAAATTAACATAAAAGTAGAATGTATTAGTTGGTACTTAGAACTTTTTTTCTTTTCTCAAATTGTTATAAATCTGATGCAACATCCGTGACCTAGAATAAGTAATCGTGTATCCCATTGTGGGGGCTGTGCCTACGCGCGGGCTATCAGCACATCTCAGCGAAGGTCGCCAGCTCGCGGCGCCCAGACGAGATGCATCGGCGGAATTCCCCGACAATTGCGTCACGGACATTGATATCTTAGAATACTACGTAATGGAATTTTATTGATATAAATGTATTGAGGGAAGTTTGATGACTATGCTTAAGGAGTGGAGGAAGTCGTCAGCAAAAGGTTATGTACAAAACATCAGAGATGCTAAAATAATAATTGAATCAAGCTAGAAGTACATAATATAGACAGTCTATAATGCGTATGTTAGAGTAAACATAGTAATAAATATCTTGCATTGCATTATTACCTATGATTAGATATAATATTGCGACTGGTCGTAAATAAAATATCACTGTTGATAGCTAAAATAGAAAGCTCAAATTAACGAGCTGTTACATTTCTACAAGTGCTGGCGAAGTGATAAAACAGTCCGCCGTCATACAATAATTCAGACCCGCCTCCCTCCCTCCACCCTCCCCGTTGATACACGCTGCGTATCTGATTTACGTAGTCAAAAGTGGAGCGAACAGACAAACGAAAGCCGTTGGTTAGTTTTAGTTACTTGTTAACTGTGAACCTTAATGGACAAGCCTTTGTACGATTTTCTAATGGTAACTAGTTTTCAAAACGGATGCAATAATGCCAACCAGACAAACGGAAATGCGTAAACAAAATGAACAACCATTTTTTATAACAAACTTTTATTTATACTTATCTTAATTATTAAAATAACAATTAGATATGTTACCCTCTTTACTATGTAATTTATTAAGAAGGTTAACAGCAATGAGGTTTACTGATCCGAGATACGTTAGCTGGTGTTGCTCGATTTGCGCGTTCGTAACCTTTACGCAGGGTTGCCACTGCGTTATAAATTACTTCCACAACCATGTTAATCGACCCAGCCACATAAACAATAATGACCAACATACAAGACAGCCACTGAAAGTTTTTTTTTTAATTATACCTTCAATTTTTTTAAACCTTTCATTACAGTTTTTAAGTCCGTAAATAGTATTTAGCATCAATAAACAAATAAATTCTGTATTTTGGTACGTACTGAAATAACTAAAAAACCGCTGGGTCGATTTTAAAAATTCCTTCACCGTTAGAAAGGTAATTTATCTGTAGGTAATACAGACTAATATTTTTTTTATTATATTTAATTTTACGTGGGCGAAGTCGCGAGTAACAACTAGTAAATAAATAAAGTAAAAATCCATTGTAAAAAGCGATAAAACCCATTGCCTAGCATTCGAGACGTTACAATTTTTAATCAATTAAAATAAAAATAACCCATGGAACCCTAGGAGTTATAATGTAGCAATCCAAGTCTCCAATATATTAGCCGTAAAGATCAGGCGTGGTTGTCTCCAATCGTTAGCGTATGTGGAACGCATTACCACACGGTACGACTTCATCTCGAACGACTATTTCGTGCGACACGCTGATAGCCCCTCCGTCAGATTAACCGTTTATGCCAGTAC